AGTATCCTTGCCCTGCTATGCCCACCAAACCATGCCATGCCCATCAAGCCACGCCCCATAAAACCGGTAGTAAATTTTTTTGAATCCCACCACTGGACTAACAATGGTAATTCATGGACTTGTTAGCTCATGGTTTGATTACAATTTGTTCTACCTGAAATTACCCTATATCATTTAAAAGCCATGTAGTTGTTTGCCTTATCATGGCAGAGAGAGATTCTATAGTAGAATAACCTGGGTATTGAAGGAATCACATTGGTGGTCGGTTGAATTCTAATTCAACCAGGTTTTTGTTTTATGGACTTGTGTTCGTGTTTTATAGTTATTTGCTTTTACTGTTATTGCAAGCTTCTCAGAGTTAAGGTGGACAATGATACAAGCCTTTTAAATATATAAATTAAATAAATTATTGGAGTATTTAGGTGACATATATACAATGGTGCATAAATCCTATAGCTTTTATATAAGAAATGTACTGCAGTAGAACCAATGTTTAATACAGTAGGCAGGACAGGGCAGAAAAATGACAACATGAAGCCTCAATTTAATTTCTAATTATTCATACGAAGTTGGCTTATACTGAAGCACAGTCTCTCTGTTCCAGGTAGGCAACCAAATAACATCAAGATGTTTTGGACTATAGTTATGACACTCTGTTTTAATGGACTGTACCTGTTAGAATTGGTAGAAACTATTGCCTTTGAGACATTTTTATATCAGAATCCAAAGAGTTATTTAGATGGTAATATTTATAGCAACATAAGTTTATTTTTTTTCTAAGAAAATTTGCATAGAGCTGTGCTTTAAAATGAAAAGACTGTAGCTATGCAACAAAACACATTGGTTGTGGCAGATGACATGATCTTGAAAAAAAGCAAAGAAACCAACAGCATGGGTACCATGACTTGTCTGAGTGTCTGTGAATCTTCTTAGCTGCTGTTTTTATGTTATTTTGGTTGTTTTTAACTCTGGGTGGTTTTAAATTGGTTTTAAAACAACAGACGTTCCTTTTGATTTCCTTAGGCGGATGAGTGAGCTCAATGTCTGTTCCCAAAAAGAGTTTGGTCTTTAGTTATTCATCATTAATTTTTAATAGCAAATATCCCTGAAGTCACTAAGTGCATTGCATGTAATATTTTTGCTCAGTATGGTGAGTTCCAGTGCTTCTCCTTTCTTTGCCATGAAAAAAACCAAATTTGTATTACTATTTTCAATATTTAACTTGAGCAAAATAAACTCTCTTTCATAGTTCCATATTTTTATCTACCCGGAAAGTTTTTCTCATTTCTGTATCTACGGTAAGTCAGTGAAAGTGGAATGGTTTCTTCTTTGTGTGCGATGCTCTTCTCAACTACAGCTACATAGAAGTCATATTTATCCAGTGAGGCAAACGCAAGTGATTGTGCCAATGAGAGGGGCTGTTGTGTGGGAAAGAATATGTCATTACCTTGTTCTTATGTATCTGCAGATCTAGCTTTCTGATTACATTATAGAATAATGACTTTCATCAAATGTCAGGTTTGAAGGTCATAGAAGATGACTGTAGTTGGTTCTGATAACTGAGGCTATTTCTGGCCTTAATAATGGTGGCGTTATTGCTGCCTGGTATTTATCCTGACCACATAGTCTACTGTGGTGGGATGGAGGTAGAAGAAGGGACTATTGTAGTCTGTATGCATATTTGTGTTGGGGAGAGAATTTTGATTCTCAACCTATTCTATAAGTGTTTGTTTTTGTTTCATTTCAGTGAGACAGCTCTGAAAGCCAATTTTGTCTTTTGGGGAGTGGTGGGATAATGATAGTTTTGTTTCTTTCTCTCCTGCTTTCTCACTCACTATGTGAATTTGGAGCTTGCTCATTTGAAAATATTTCTTAATACAATCAGTTTTCCTTCTATGAACAGATGGTTTCAAATGTTCAGCCTTGCAATTTGCCTTTATAATGTATAAATTAAGGAATCCAAACTCAGAAAGAAGGAGAAACCACAGAAGTGTAATTTTTTAAGTGAAATAATGCAAATTTACACAACGAAAACTATCATAAGCCTGTAAAACTGTACTCACAAACCCCAGAGTCCATGTTTCTATAAGATACTAGACTAAGACAAAGTTAAGTCTTAACACATGTCACGTAACATACTAAGACAATGAACATGTGTTCACTCACATACACAAGCAAGGTTTTGTCAAAGTACTATGTAAGCCACAACTTAACCAGAACCTCAGCTAAAGAGACATAAAAAAGCATATGTTCATTTGGATAGTGAAAAAATACTGCTTGATATTGCCACTGAATAGATGTGGATAAGATTTCAGAAAATTTTCAAGAGATTATACTATGATCTTTCCATTATAGACAAAAGCTGAAAAACTAGCTTCTAATAGTTGTTGACATTTTATGAGACTTCCAAAGTATTTGAACAGCCATGCAATGAGGCAAAGTAGCTCAAAGGTACTCAGAACATAACTGCATTTGAGTATCATAATGAAAATCAAATAAAGGTCAGCCTTCCCAAGACAATTATTGTCAAATGGATGACACTAAACCATTACCTTTTAAATTTAAATTATGGGACAGTGTCCAAACATATAAACCAAAAAAAATCTCTTCTGAACCTGGGGCTGGGATGATTGGGTGGATCATGCAGTTTTTAAAAAGAGTGTTTTAGTGTGTCCCCATTGCTGACATAATACATATTAAAGAAATGACAGCTGAAAAAATGCACTATTTGGGGAAAACTTGTCCAGTTTGTTCTGTTCTGCCCACTCTAACTATTTTTACAATCTACAGTCTACAAAAGGTGTATTCAGCCTGTGGCCATAGGCTGCATGCATCCTTGGATAGCTAGTAATGCAACTCCACAAGATGAATACCAGTAGTGGGATTCAAATCCCAGCACTACCGGTTCGCTATTGGGAGCACACAGGTGCGTGTGTTTGCTTCGTGAGTGTGTGGTGCTTCTGCGCATGCGCAGAAGATTCTGCGCATGCACAGACCATTTTTGATGACATCTGGGTGGGTGGACAGAGCCTCCCACCGCTGCCATTACCGGTTCACCCAAACCGGGGTGAACCAGTAGCAACCCACCCCTAATGTATACATTTATAAAGATTTATAAAATAATAAAGGATGTTTGTTATTTATATACATTAATTGTATTATATATTTTATATGTGGCCCTAGGCAATTTCTTTTCAGTCAATGTGGCCCAGACAGTCCAAAAGGTTGGACACCCATAGTCTACAACCTATCTTGTGCATCATTATTGCTTGCTTTAAAGACTATTTTCTTTATTTTTTCCAAAGCAGGAAAGTACTTTTTAAAAAAGTGTATTTCTACACTTTGGGGTGTAGAAACAGAGCCAGGATTGAGTGGTGCATGGGGTGAAGTCAAATATTAAAATCAATTTAATTTAAACTAGAAAATTAATTTTAAAAAAAGTTCTAGCCACTTGGACTATGGGCTGAAAGTTTATAAAATACATGCTCTTGGCTCAAAAAGAATTTGGACAGGATTAAGTAACAGATATAAGCTAACATTTCTAGGCATTGGTTCAAATATTTACTACTTTTAAACATGAGGGGTTCATGTGAAGATCACCTCTATAAATGCCACTTTATCTATGCCAGCTTTTTCTCTGTGAGCTTTGTTTCTGGTACCTCTACTACTTAATATTGCCATACAACCAACCAAATCTTGCTCAGAAGGGCCCAAGCTTCACTAATATATCTACCCATCCTGGCACCCACAAACGTTTTTCCAATGAAAAGCTAAGTTTGCTGATCTCCTATGCCAATCTGTCTGGCCATCCAGTAAACCAAAGAATGAGAAGTAGCAAAGACACAGTCTTAGGGCACATAACTTCTCTATAGATTCTTACCTGTCTACAGTTCCTGATTAGAATAAATGCAAGCTAATTTGCTGCCATTTCCTTATCTGCACTACATCTGTCTTACAAGAGGTACAAAGGAAATATCCTTTTTAAAATCGTTGGAGTGAAAATATTCAGTCCAAACTCAGCAGAGGTAAATAAAAGATTTACCATTACTGGTATTTTTATATTATTATCCTTAAAAAAATGAAGCAGCTGCAGATGTTTTTATGTTTCCCTTTATAGTCTGAAGTTACCGGTATTTATTTTTGTTCAAAATCAGGTGCAGGAATTTGAAGCTGCTTAAATTAAATATTTGCCCTCTTAAACCAAACATTCAAATTGAATCATGCCTTCCTTAAATTATGCTTATATTAGAATGAAATCAGTAATAATTCATATATAACTATTCTCCCAATTTGCATCTTAACTGCCAAAATAAATACAGACCTATCCTATTTGCAACATAGCTAAAGTAAAGTATCTCTGATTTAGGTTGACTCAGCCTTCCATCCTTTCGTGGTGGGTAAAATGAGGATCCAAATTATTGGGGGCAATATGCTGACTCTGTAAACTGCTTAGAGAGGGCAGTAAAGCACTGTAAAGTGGTGTATATAGGTCTAAGTGCTATTGCTATTACTATTTTCCACTGAAGTACATTGGAATCCGTTCTACTATGCTGAGTATTGCCTTGACCGATTTATAATTTAGAACATGGCTATGTTTTTTACAAACCTGAGTAGCAAAGTGACTTATCACTTAGAAAGCTTAGACCCTGAAATTCTTAGCACTTGTTACATTTACAAACAAATCAGCATGTGCAACTTTTTGCTGCCAACCACACTTTTTTTTTTGAATGATATACTCCTCAAAGTAGACAGGGCCGGGACAAAGAAGTCAAGGACAATAACTAAATTTGATTTGTTTACATTTGAGCTGCATGAAATTAAATAAATATAATTGCTATGATTGCTCCCCATACAATCATCTCCTCCCTTCATATCATTTTAAAAATTGTACTTTACTGGAAAGTTTTGAAAGTTCTCTGGAATAACATTCAAAGGTTTGAAAGAGGCCTCAAGTTATGAACCTTGGACATAAAAGATTTCAGTACTAAATTACACACTACCTGTCGAGGAGTCCTTTCCGACTTACTTCTGCACCACTCCCAGTCAGAGAGTTCTGGTTTCCGGCCCTCCTCATGAGACAACCTTCTTTCTGGTCCTTCAAAAAAAGTTCCTTTTTCAATATTCCGGATCTCTTCTTTCTTATATGACATTTTATCAGACATTAGGCAGTCTATGAATTTATCCCTGCTTAAGTCTTTCCTGGTGTCTGTGCTGTCAACATTTTTGCAACCAGCAATATTTTGACACGTGGAGCTGTCCACCACGGAAATGGTGCTGAACTCCATTTTGCTGCTTTCTTTTTGAGTTGCTTTTGTGTTCTCACAATCACAGTTGAGCAAGCTGTGGTAGGATATTGAATTACTACCATCACTGTGGTGATTGTCATGGGATATCTTATAGATTCCATAACCTTGTTGAAAGGACAAATTGAATTCAAAGCCTCTTCTTTTGGCTAAAGAAAGAAAGAAAGAATGAAAGAAAGAAAAAAGAAATAAAGTAAACCATTGCATTAAAACAGCTAGAAGCCAGTAGGACAGTTAATAGTATTTTTGTTAAAAAAGTACACCATATTTTGATAATTGGGTTAATGTGAATTGTTTCAAAACATATATTTTAAATCAATGTTTCAAAACATTAAATGACAAAATAGAAAATAGTTGAAGCCAAAGTGTGCTTGCACAATATTTTTTACTGGGGCAGGGAGTAGATCAGTATATTGTATAAACACCACAACCCAATTAGCACCAGACAGTGGAGGAAATTAGTTTTAGCTGTAAACAGACTATGGTTCATCACTGTGCAAACTGGAACAAAGGTTAACAAAAGGTTTACCTTATTTTTTGTTACTGGCAAGGAGATAAAAGTTTTAAAGTGATTGCTCTAAGGACTTTTTGTCTTACTTTCTCTTTGCTTTTTATTCCTTTGCAGCTCATAGAGGGATTAAATATAGGAAGACGTAGGCTGGGGTGAGTGAGCCTTTCCCAACTCTTCTCTGGCAGAAATGTTGACCAGTCCAACAGATGTATTTTAATGCTTTAAAAAAAAGCAGCAGGAAGTAATTATCTCCCAGACAGTGTGGCAACTGGGCAACCATCCAAAAAAGCTGTCCTTCATTTGATCATGTGCGGTGGATGCACAGAGGGAAATCAGTCATTCAGTCATTAAGGGAACTCAGTAAGTTTTATTCCAGTGAGTGTGTTTAAAATTGTACGAAATGTAATAAAATTTGCACATTATTGTGTAGATTTATTTATGACTTAAAGAGAGGCACATCATAACATTTGGAATGTGAAATAAAAATTTCTTAGAACAAGAGCACAGTTATTTCCCAGCTATTAGAAAACAGTTTTTTATGTTGGTTCTATTAGGAAATGTACACTCTTTGAAAGACTGTTAAATTTACACTGGAAGTAAATTAAATGACCTTATTGTAACAGAAATAATATAAAAATAAATGCTAATTTGACTTGGAGCTAGCATTAATAATATCCTGAATAATGTCCTGAAAAAGAAAAATATTGCTATATATTTGTACAATATATATTACAATATAGTAATATACTATTACTATACTTTTGCTCAATTATATCCTATCCTATCCTATCCTATCCTATCCTATCCTATCCTATCCTATCCTATTGTTTTACAATTTTCTGCATATTTTTTTGGTTTAATGATTCAGCCTTCAACTTGTTTTCAGGGCTTGGATATAGTTTTATTTCAGTGGCACAAGTCCAATATGTATACCTCCACAAACAAAGCCTATACCATTCTAATGAATCGCAGATCCAAAGTGAATCACATTGACCTCAATGAGATTTACTTTTTGGTAACTTAATATAGCATTGCAGCAAAGTAAATTAACCTGTCCCACTGATGTAAATTTAGCTTGATATTGTTGGCTGTTTAAGACAATGAACTTTGAAAATATTCTGATAAAATTGAGACTATATAAATAAGTCATAAAACGTCACTTTGAGTTCAAAGGGAATTAAATATAAGTAAGTAATAGGATTTTCATTTTTATCATAATGTGATGCTTTAGTGTTTTGAAAGTAATACAAGTAGGAACAGGTACTTTTGAAAGGACCACTTGCTGGTAGAGATAGATGGTAGAGTTAAGAGAAATATACAAAGCAGTGAGGCAGGCATAAAGAAAGCTAACCTGCCTAAGAGAAGAAAATCCAAAATTAAATCTGGAAAAAGGCAATAGCAAACCACTTCGCAAACCACTTGATTTTTATCAAGAAAACAGTATAGGCAATGTTAAAACATTAGGAAGAGTTTATGTGCCTGGTAATGAGACTCCTAGTATGGGAAATACTTCTCTGGTTACTGAGGAAGAACAGTGAGCTTTCATAGGTAAATAAGGAGGCAAAGATAAGGCCTGACCAAAAGAGTAAGAAAGTCTGGATATCAATGGTACCAATACTGAAAAGAAGATTTTTTCCTCATATTTCAAAAACACATAATGTTATAACATGGGATGGCATGAAGCAAATGCAACTTGATTTTTTTAAAGTTGAAATGAAGTCTATTAAACTGAATACTTTAAGAATATTTAAACATAGGTAGTCTGGAATGAGCTACTTGAAATCATATAATTGCATGCTATATTATTCAGGAACTGAATAAAGAAACCGAGTGACAATAATACTAAAAACAAGCACCTCTATGGAAAGTAAGTGCTTGGCTATGACTCAATAAACGATAGGGTCATATCTATAAGAATTGGACTATAGCCAAAAACTGTATAGACAACTGTATCCCCGCTACAAATGTAAGATGTTGGCAAATTGCAAAAGAACTGAAGTAATACTATAAAGGATGTTTGCCATGCAAACATTGGAGAAATGGAGGAACTGAGAACCATAAGAAGATTTGAAGAAATGCAATAATGGAGAGGAAATGTTAATAAATAAATACATGAAAAAAAATTATTACTACCCTCTTTTTCAAGCAACATAAATGCAGATTATATGTAGTACATGGACATTACTGGATGTACAATAGCAGAATCAAACAAACTATAATTCGAAAAAGAAGATAAAAAAAAGCAATCCAATGCAATCCAGGCAGCCAAGCAGTTTCAGAAAGAAATTGAGGAAGGTACTATAAATATTTGGGTTAAAGGTAAAAGAACATGTGAAAAAAAATAGAAGTGTTTAAAAAATAACAAGAAATCACAGAGAAATAATATCTAAATAGGAATACTTAGAACTAATCATAAAAGAGATATGTAATTGAATCAAATGAGGTTGAAGGAATATGAAAACAAATGAAATTATACAATTATAGAAAGCATTTTCAGAATATGTTCAGGAACCAGTCAGGCATGATAGAAAGTAAACCAGGTACCAGATAAGAAAACAGTGGAGCAAGTTAATACATATTTGCACTGCTTAAAGTTGCAGGAGTAGAAGCAGTCACTATGCTAACAGTTCTGTCAATAAATATAAAACAAAATTTTATAGCCTAAAGATGATAAAATATTGGTGAATATACCTATGCTGACATGGTTGATTAATTCCTTATGCAAGCAAAGTTCAACTTCAAATTTTACGAAGAAGATGCTTACACAGATTTCTATAAATAAGAGAAATCAGATTATTTTCTTTGTCTCTGATGACTCTTCTGAGGAACTTTTACAATAAACAAGAAGTTGTTGCAGAAACCAAATTTGGAGAAAAATAATGAATAGGAGAAGGAACAAGACAAGGATATCTCTTGTTCCCATGCATATCTAATAGAGCTTTAGTGTCTTAAATAGTAAATGAATGGAAAGATTAGCCATTCTCCTGTTTTGATTCTAGATAAGAATTTAAGATGAGAACTTAAGATATTCTGCTGAGAATATCGTCAGCAGAGAGTGAGACAACTCTCACAATGAAAATATGCATTGTGAAAAATCTGGGCTAATATTATTATTAATGGTAAAGGGTTTGAAGTGATAATTTTGTTTCCTTGGGCTCAAGGATAGATAGACAAGGTCAGTGTGCTGTAGAATAAAAAGTAGATTAATCCTAATGAGGAAGGCACTGATAGTGTCATGAAAGAATAGTTCTATGACAACAAAGATCAGAACAATTACAATTATAATCTTTCCAGTGGCAATATATGGTTGTGAAAGCTGCTTTTGAAAAAGAGAGAGAAAGAAGATAATTGCTATCAAATTACAGATCTGAAATTATTACTAAGACAATCCTGGATTTTAAGAAGAACTCATCAATCCTTGCTGTCCCAAAATGAATTAGGAATACCATTTTATGTTTGGAGATACATTTAGTTTCCATGGAGGCTAGAGCTGGCTTTTACTTGTCAACTTTTGACTAAAATTAATTTTCTTTCCTATAAGTCTGGCCCCTTTAGCCTTTAGGGACTGCTTTAAATCAATGTGGCTTAAGAAAGCTACTGATAAAATCCATTTATTGAGTTTTTCAATTGAGAGCCTCTGCTCCTTAGGCTTTGAAAATGCCAGACGTGCTCTCAAGCCACAGATATTGTTATTATGAGTAATCTACAGTTAAATTCACAGTCTAAGCCTGGTGAAAACTTAATATTTCAAGATCTAACCAAGGACCTAAGAATTTTTAAGGTAGTTCCTAAATATATAGGCAGTTCTAAGTAAAGTGGGGTTTTGTGGGGGTTTTTTTTGGGGGGGGGGACAAAACTAGGGTGTTCAGGTCCAATATTTATTTTTTTAATCCAAATATTGAGGGAGTCCTTTGGGTATTGCTCTGAGGGCTCCAATCATGATTGGGATAAGTACAGATTTCTTTTTTTTTTTCATAAGTATATAGTATTGTGGTTTGATGCAGTCAGCCAGATATTCAGACTCTTGTTATTATTTAAATTTATTGACTACCCAATTCTAGGGAAGACAGAACTTCAATCTAATTTAGGTTTTCCCAAAGTGTGAGGTGTTCCTTTCATGGAGAGGTTCAAATGGTCTGGGGAAGTATGAAGAATCTTTTAGTTACATTGTTATAATAAATCTATATTTCTCATCATTTCAGTGTATTATTTTCATTATTCATTTATGTTTGTTTTGATGTTTGGATTTTTAGGGGAAGTGTGTACATTAAAATAAAGAAAGGTATGGTGACAAAAAGTTTAGGAACCCGTGACCTAATCTAGGGTCTAGGGTCTAGTCCTAAAACTTGGGAGATTCTTCCAAATGGGATTGCACCAGCCTACTATTTACCATCTACTACAAGATCAAAATATTGTAGGCCTTTTACCTTAACCAGGCTAGATGCACTGACTTCATTAGTCCTCTTTGGATAGTCAAATAATACTCCAGTGCATCACCACCTATACCTATGCAGAGATGGTTCATTACAGCCATATGTTCCTCTGTTATTCCTCTAATAAGGACTCTAGGATGACTCTCAAACACTTAATCCTAAAGACATTATGGACAGAGAGCACAACTTTTATTTATCAGTTCTCTTATCTGAGAAGAACCCAAGTATATTCTCCCAGGTTGCTCATGTCTACATGTACTAATCATTGTAACTGTAGTTGAAGATCCTGACTTATTAACTTTCTGATGCTTTATGTTATTTTATTCTATAATTATTGCACTTTTGTCCCAGTACTTTTAAATTCTGTGCTTCATTCTTATTTCTTGTTATATATCTTAGATCTATATAGACTTATCAATTGATATATATGTGTATATATATTCACTTATTTTAGGCTTTAATTTATTGCTTTTTGGCCTTATGATTGTAATAAGGTTATTAGATTTGAATCCTGGGCCCAAGAAAATCTGATTCCTCCCTTGAGGAACAGCAAACAAAAACTCATATACTTTAGGCATGTTATATAAGATGTATTAGATCTATGTAGTCTATGTTTAGAAGTATGGGAGAACTAGAAAAACGGGAAGACAACTAATAAAGTAGATAGAAGTAATCAAAGAAATTATAGGTTTCTTTGGGAAGAATTTCAAGGTGTTGAACATTGGTCCATGCAGTTGTCAGGAATCAGGTTGACCTAACTAACATGTTAATCATCTAACTGAATGTCTCCAATTCAAGTTTATTTTTTCTGATTTTGTTTGTTTGTTTGATGTGCAGTTGGCTTGGAATTCAACATCTGCTACATTTTTTTTCTGTTTAACTGACTTTAATTCTTCGTATTTGTTTTATGTAGTGATTCAGGAAGAACAATGAACATAAAATCCACCTCTTCAGAATCAACTGTGGCTCTAACACCATCTATGCTTGAGTTCCAGATTTAGATTGAATAGTTTTATCTACATCGTTTTTGATGTTAAACTGGGACCTATGCAATTATTACTAATAACAGTATTAGTTTATTTTCCTGCTCTATGCAAAAAAAGGAAATAATATATCAGTCCTGCAACAGCTTAGTCCAGAAAGCTTTCTGCTATGGAACACATGAATCCTATTCAATCCAGGTGCTTAAGATATTAAGTAATAAGTTTGGTATAGTGGTCAAGGCATCAGGCTAGAAATCAGGAGACTATGATTTCTAGTCCCACCTTAGCTCCAAAGTCAACTAGTGATTGCAGACCAGTCAGTTTCTCCCAGCTGTGGGAAGCAGCCAGTGGCAAACCACTCCCAAAATGTTGCTAAGAAAAATGCAGGGACGTCTTCAACACACTTGAAAACACACATACACACACAATAATGTTTAAGGATTTCAACAGGGAAGACAGTAAGCTGCTTAAGTGCCAGCCTCTAACATTTTTGTATTCATAAGAATGTTTCCTAGTTCAAATAGCTCATACACAGTAGGTATTCTTAAAAAAATCAAAATGACGAGGAGCTGCAACAAATAGAGGTGTATCCACTTGCCCAGAAAAAGAAAAAGCTAATTAAATAGGAAATTGTAGGGTGCTCCAAATAAATTGAAGGGAATGAATGTTTGACGTCTAGCTATCTTGTATATAACTATCTTAACAGCCATCTTGTGAGAGCTCTCATTATATGTTCTCAGAATTCCAAATCTGCCATTTCTCCAAATACGTTGATTAATGACAGGTAGTCCTTGACTTGCAACAGTTCATTTAGTGACTGTTCAAAGTTACAATGGCATTGAAAAAAGTGACTTATACAATTTTTCACACTTACAACCATTGCAGCATCTCCATGGTCACGTGATCAAAATTCAAACACTTGGCAGCCAACTTATTATGGTTGCAGTGTTCCAGGGTCATGTGATCAGTTTTGGTAACCTTCTGGCAAGCAAAGTCAATGGGGAAGCCACACTCAGTTAACAACCATGTTACTAATTTAACAAGTGCAGTGATTCACTTAACAACTGTCGCAAGAAAAGTCGTAAAATGGAGCAAACAAATGTCTCACTAGCAACAGAAATGTTGGGCTCACTTGCGGTTGTAAGTCTTGGACACCCTGTAACATTGATTCTGGAATACAGGCTTAATGATAGTGATCCTAGTGTCCCCAGATGTTTCAAGCACAATCCCTCGCATTGGCTACCTTAACTGCATCTGATTGGAATTAGATTTCTAAACTTCTGAAGAGCACCAGGTTGTCTATTCCAATTTCTGCTTGCTACTCCTGTCCTTTGTAACAGAATATGTTAGAAATAAAAGCGAGCTGTAGTCATAAAAATAAAATATCATAAAAATAAAAGATTTTAAAGTAGGGGGATATTGGTTCTAAATACTGTGACTGTATGTTTAACTATTTAGTTCTGCCTGAGGCCATAAAGATAGGGTAAATATTTTATTTTGGGTCCGAGGGGAGGAATAACCTTTAGCATATACAAAACAAGAGAAAAGGTTTAGCTTTAAATTGTTAGATAATTGTTGGATCACCATCTGCTATAAATTTCTTTCTGCAAATATTTGATCAAAGCCAGAAATATGCAGAAGGTGTACACATTGTTTCTTGACATAAAGCAAACACGAAAGCAGGTTCTAGAACAGTGGTGTCAAACTCACTTTCATTGAGGGCTGCATCAGGAGTGTGTTTGTCATTGGGGGGCTAGGGTGGGGATTGCCAGGGTGGGTGTGGCCAGAGCGATATCACTCGTGTCAGAGGCGCCTGTGGTGGCCCAAGCGCTCTGCCAGCAAAAACGGGCTCCTGAGCTCCATTTTTGCTGGAAGAGGCACCACAGGCTGGTCCTTCACTGTTTCCAGGTTGGCCCATGGGCCAGATCTAAGCACCCTGTGGGCTGGATCCAGCCCAGAGGTGGCATTCAGCAGGTTCTGACCTGTTCTGGAGAACTGGTAGCAGAGATTTTGAGTAGTTCGGAGAACCGGTAAATACCAACTCTGACTTGCCCCACCCCCATCTATTCTCTGCCTCCCGACTCCCAGCTGATTGGGAGGAAATGAGGATTTTGCAGTAAACTTCCCCTGCCATATCCACCAAGCATGCCCACCAAGCCATGCCATGCCTACCAAGCCATGCCCACAGAACTGGTAGTAAAATTTTTTGAATCCCACCACTGATCCAGCCCGTGGGCCTTGAATTTGACACCCCTGCTCTAGAAGATCCAGAGGATGCATCTTTTTGTACAGAAAAGATCCATTTTGCTTTGGGCAAGAATTGTGAATAAAACTGTACTTAATAATCACTGAAATATACTGTTACATGGGTTGCCTGCATGGGCAATTTGAAACTTTGGCTGTTTATGAGACATGGAGAATAAAAGAATCCGCCATGTGAATTGTCATTAACTTTGATGAAAGAAGAGTATTAAATCATAACAATCCCCCCATCCACACACAAAATTTGGTTTTATTTTATGTAACGGATGTTGAACTTCTGTCAACCAGAGACAACATTGATCTTTCAATACCACATTGGAGTCTGCATTTTAAAATAAGTCAGATCAGGCCCAAAGGAAGTGTTCTAATGAAAAATGTTAAAACGATATAAAACTATAGGTTTTACATCCCCTTGGATCTGCACTATGTGACCGAAGGACTTGATAATGTCCTTTTGGAAGAAGCAGTAAAACCTCTTTCCCCATCCTTCCTTCTTACCTTTGTTTTCCTCTGATGACACTGAATAGATGCTCTTTCTACAATTGATAATGCAGCCACAAGGCAGGTGACTCCAGTGCTCTGACAAGACAAACATCGGAGTGACAGTGACAGCTAGCAAAGTTAGCAGGAAGCTGAATATCTCAAAGGAAAGATTGTGAAACCCAACAGTGTATTGAACAACCATTTGTATCTGAAAGAGAGAGGTATTCCAGAGAAATTAAGCAACAGACAGCTGGCTTGTACAGAAGCGATCACATATTATACTCCCTCTCCTAAATACTTGCTGCATAGACTTCCCCAGACTTGAATATTGGCATCTTAGAAAGCAAAGACAGGACTCTTCTAAACCTGTTACTCACAAATAAATGCCACAGAGTTTGTAGTGCTGACTTTTACTTAGCATTGCAATGCATGTCTGCCATATGTTGCAATCCTATAGAAGTAGTACAAGTGAGCCTATTCCTCCCAACAATCTCATTTACTTGGGGAATCATCTTCTACAATCCACATAATATGGCAGGCGAAACCAAAGCCAAAAGTAGCCAAACACAAAACTGCACACCCTGTATCATTACATTCACCAAACATATTTATGAATATACTTATCTCTGCTCTGCTCATGATAAGGGTAAGATCCAGATTTGGATGGCCCATGGTCCATTAAGTCCTGCCTGGGCATGACCTAATGTTCTTCGTCAGGCTCATCCAGTAGCCATATATATTTGGCTGAGGATATGTTTACAGGGTCATTGCAAAATAATAGTAACAGTAACCACAAGCAGTCTCTGCTACCTATCAAAAGACACCCAAAGCCATTTGTTCTTTGAGATACAGAAGATAAACATTCCTGTTTTCCTGGAATTTGTCTCAACTGAGCTTCCGCATGTCTTTGAATCTTGACAGATGTCGAAAAGGAACTGTTCTAACACAAGTCCCATCTGTGTCTCTCAGAAATGCCAGTTGCTTCAAGTGAAACAATAAATATTGATGCCTGTTCTGTAGCAGAGAAGTAGCTTCAACCCTGAGCTATTAATAAAGAGCCATTTGAGTTATTGCAGGGAGGTGGAAAGGTACCCTTGAGAAGATCATGTTGATAGATGATTTGCACAGTGGTTTCATTATGCAGAGCTTCATAAATAAAGAAGCAAGTCTGTGCCCCATGGATCTTACAATTTAAATCTCATCAGTAAGGGCAAAGGGAGGATTGCTAGAGAAGGTTACAAGGAAAGAACGTGAGCGAATGCAGCTCTGACTACTGGAATGGCGAGTATGCATTATTCTTCAGTGTCTAATAGGGCTTATTTCCAGGAAAGACTACACAAGTCTTAGACCAAACTGATGTAAAAATTAAAGTTCATCAGTGAATGTAGGATTAAAAAAGGGCCCTGAAGAAATAACAGATTTCAAATTATTGCTCCCTATGTGCTGGCAAAAATGAGATTCACAAATGAAATAGGACACTGAATGTAGTGTAAGAGATACATGAGAAAAAACAAACCCAAAACCACATGTAAACAGATTGCCCTATCTGCAATCTACTATCACAAACTTCAAGGCAGTAATTCTTTTTTTTTTAAAAAAAAGGAAATAGAAAATAATGAAATTCTTTCAGTCATTTGTGAATACTTTTGAATTGCATAGCTACAGGCAATTCACCACGAAAAGGTGTGCCTTGCAACTAATAAACAAAGCAAGGAATTTTTGGCAAATGCCAAAACCAACAACATAATACCCAACTGAACTGCATGAAGCATAAGAGCTTGATCTATTCCACCACCTTGTTTTTTTTCCCCTTGGAATCATTCAACAAGATGTATTTGTAGAACACTTATACTAGCATAAAACTAGCACCATAAAGTAGTTGTCTGGAATCTTTCTTATATCTGACTATTACAAACCATTTCTACATTCAGCAAAACAAATCTCAATCATCTGAAAAGTAATTAAAATGTTACACATTCCCTTAAGAATACACCAATATATGTGCATTTTGAATTCCTGATCATTAAATAAACCAGTATTAGAAATGTACAGTACATTCAGTTGAAACTACGATAATGTACCCAACTGTTTGAATAGACGAGGAATACTTTAAACAGTAGCCAAACTGAATAAAGAAATACAAAGCAAGTGACACAGTAACTTGTTAAAAAATCTTGATTAACCAATGTTTTAAACACAAGATGCAAGTTTTCAAGATGGACACAAGCCCTGTTCTGCTGCTCCCCACTTCCAAATATCATTATATACCACTTCACTAAACCCTTAGAGATAAGAAAAAGAAACTTGGGCAAGGTTTTTTTTTTTTTTTACCATCATTGGGAGCCAAAGAATGACTTTGGTCAGAGCAAGAATTAGTGAGAAGCGTTTCTGAGCAAATTCCACAGTGATGTTCCGGTTGTTAGGTGGCACATTTCGTGTACCGTAGTGGTCCAAGTGACAGTGGTCAGCTGGACTTTGTCTGGTAACTGGGTCAGAGTTCTGACAGTGCTTCTGGGTTTTATTCATAGTGTCTTCTGTAGGAAGAGAAGATGTGTGACTCTCAAATGGAAGTACCCCAGAAGAAAACTGGCCACCAGTGATTTGATGATAATCATCATAAAAATGCTGTTGGTCATCTGAACAGAGCAATTGATAAATAAGAGGAATGGAGAGTATAATTAGGAGACAGAAACACAATGAGTAGATTATAAAGAGAAACAAGATATACGAACTGGAACAGTCAGCAAAACATCCCCAGGAGGTGGGAGCATAGGTGCCCCAGCCACATAAAGGCAAAATACAAATCAGCAGGCAGACAATCCAGATAGTAAGAACAGCCCATATCATGCTCACTGGCCTTTTGGTGGCCCCTTGGCTGTCTCCCGTTTTATTGAGGCTGTAGAAGTTATAGAAAACTACAAGGGACCCCATCAAGTTGCTGGAGAAACCCTGAAATAAGTACAGTAGCGCTGAAGTGGTACACAAAGTCTGGGGAAGCATCTCACTCAACCAAGGTTTGAGCATAAAAATCGTTGCTGGTACCACACTAATCAGATCATCCACACTTAGAGAAGTTGCAAGCATTGAAACTGTACTTTTGTTCTGCAGTCTCAGCAGGGAAACTAATGAATAGACGCTACCCAGCAGGGTTAGGAATGTGATGACAAAAGTCAAGAGAAAAATAAAAAGATTCAAAGATTGTTGGTCTTTGGGTATATCCATCATTCCCTGGTTTGGGGAGCTTGTCCCATTTAATGAAACATTAATATGAGTGACTGACATTGTTGTCAGGATGGTTGGGATAGCCGGGGTGGATGTTACTTTACCTTCTCACAGATTCTTTGAGTTCTCATCCGATGAAAACATTGTTAGCTCCACAGTAGATTCCTCATCTTCTCTACCAAGTTTATTCTTGGTCTGTACAGATTTTTCCCCCCTTTCTGAATGCCTGCTTAGGATGCTCCCAAGTAATGCCCAGCTCACACTGTTAAAAGAAGCATTAATGTTAAGTCCCAAGAAGCAAAAAAAATTCCAGCCAAGAAAATAAAGCACAATAATTTCTCCTTTCCTCAGTTCTTTGCCAGTCCTTTATAATCCTCAGAAGTGGTCAAGTTTAGCCTTAAAGTAAAAAGCCGATGTCAAAAACGTGCCGTAAGAGAAAGCGAGCAGAATATCAGTCTCACACTGCCGGCTTAGGAGAAACTATAGCAGAAGGGAGGGAGGGAGGGAGGGAAATAACCACCAGAAGCTCTTTGGTTCAGTCTGCACAATTCATAGCTGCAGGAGGGAGGAGTCAGATATAAGCAGGATAGCAGAAGAGAGTGGAAGAAGGATATCTCAAAGCAGAGCTGCTCGCGGATCATAAGCAAGGAAAACTCTTTGCAAAGCCACACCTTCACCTTCAGCCCTGATGCACAGAGCCAATGCAAACACTGATCCAACAATAAATGTCATCTCTTCCTCCCAGCCCCAGAACTACTGCACAGCTGTTGTTGGCCTTGGGACACACAGAAGTGGAAATCCAAGTGCAACAACTTTCAGAAAGGCTCTGAGGCCAAAGCATTCATGGGGTTTGGGATCCTCAGATTGTACATTGCTGTGCTAGAATTTTGGGAAAAAATAATTGTAGTTGATGTCAACATTATTTTTAATCATTACAACAGATTCTTAAATCAAAACTGGAGGCAAACCATCTGTTGAGTGGGTAACACCTGGGCTCTTTGACTCTCTAAATCTGCCTCTGTTGCTGCCTCTTGTCATAAAGGAGGAAAGGAAGTAAATGAAGATGGCTTGGGGATGATTTGGCACAGATGGCTTTAGAGCAACATCTCCAATTTGGCACCCCTCATCAATGTTGGAACTGCAGATTCCATAATTCCTACATTGGCTTCACATTCGCAGTGCTGTCTTTCTGCATTCAACACATCAGTAGGCATGTCATTATGATAGTCTCTCGATGCCATTTCTTGCTCACAAGCTGCTTTTATTCACAAGCTTGGGGAGCTATGTATGAAAAACTTGATCAATAATACAACATATTGAATTTCATCTTACTCTGCTCCCGCACATTTTGTCAGGGAGTTCTCACAATCTTTATCAGTATGACTCAGCCCCTAACCCTGTTTTCTTCTGGAATTAAAATCAATGCTGTGTTGGAAAGACAGGGCAAGAAAAATGGAAATGATCCAGGAAAAGTGTCTGAAGAATTCTTTTTCTCTCTTCCACAGTACTCAAAATCTTGAACTTTTTTGTTCATTCTGTGCTAAGCAGACTCTGAAAGAAGATTTAGAAGATTTTTGAAGCCCACACAGTGGTGGGCTTCAAAATTTTTTACTACCAGTTCTGTGGGTGAGGCTTGGTGGGCGTGGCAGGGGAAGAATACTGTAAAATCTCTATTCCCTCCCCAATCCAGGGGAAGGTTACTGCAAAATCCCCATTTCCTCCTCCCTCCTCAGGAGGCAGAGAATAGATGGGGGCGGGGCCAGTCAGAGGTGGTATTTACCGGTTCTCCGAACTACTCAAAATTTCCATTACCGGTACTCCAGAACTGATCAGAACCTGCTGAAACCCACCTCTGCCCCTGCAGATGGATATTCTAAATCCCATGGTCCAATCTGATACTACAATATCATGCCCAAAAAGATTCAGGAAGTAAATTGCTACTTAAAGAGCAAAATACTGTTTTCAGAAAAATGAGTTACATATGTAGATTTCTATTCACTATAAAGCCTGAAAGGAGTGGTAGATTTTATGACAGGGTCTTCCAAGATTTGTATTGGGCTGTTTATTTCCTGAATCAGTAGTACCAATACAAGGTGATTTGGGACTTTATGGACTGTAGTTCTTGCCTGAAGATCTTTCCACTCATCGGTTCATGAGAGACATACTAAATGAAATATTAAAATTCAAATCAATTCCTCAGTCTGAACAATTCATTTCACACCCTGTAGAATCCAATAGCCAGGCTTTGCTCTTAGGTAGGCTGAAGCAGTTGCTTCAGTTTAAAGATGTTATGAATGAAAATCCATTATTAATATTCTTAATTCATTCCTGCAACAGAAAGGAGACAGATCCTTATTCCAATTGGATAATATTGTGAAAAGCAATTCTCACTTCCAGACAAAATGTAGACAATGTATGATTTATAGCTAGTAGAAAGAATATATGTGGTAAAAATGTGGTATGAGAAAACTCTGTGTATGGCTTGCTTGGAAATATGCACGAGGAGCAAGAAGAAAAGTATGTCTGAGTTCTTCTGTGGCCAGATTTCAAGCTACCTGTGATAGTAGACCTAACATGCCTACCTGTATTGTAACATGCCTTCCCAACATAAGCAGGGGTATAGATATGCAAACAATGTGTAGATGAACATTTAGAAATTATTGATATTTATTTATTTATTCATTCATTCATTCATTCATTCATTCATTCATTCATTATTCATTTATATCCCACCTTTATTTTTTATAAGTTTTATTACATTATCAGCATGGGTTTTTTAAAAAAACTTTTTCCAAAAATTTAACACGAATCTTTAATAAGCCAGAATTTATTTTCTGTTACCTAAGATTAAGTCTTATTTGGTACAATGACTCTCAACGTCTAAGTGGGCATGTATGGGATCAGGCTGTAAAAAATGATCAAGAACAAAACTTGTGTTTGTTAAGCTCTGGTTTTTTTAAAAAAAAATATTATTGTTTTATCATAGAAAATGATAAAAATAGCGTACAAAAAAAGGAACAAAGTGGTCAATTAAATGTAACTTTTAACATTTTATATGTAGGAGCCACTCTGGCTGGGTGCTGAAAGGGAAAAAAAAGCAATAAATTATCCTCCCCTTTTACAAATATATATACTGCTCAAAAAAATAAAGGGAACACAAGCAGAAGACATCCGAGATCTGAATGAATGAAATAGCCTTATTAAATACTTTGTTCTTTACATACAGTAGTTTATACACTGCTCAAATAACTAAAGGGAACACAAAACTACTGTATGTAACGAACAAAGTATTTAATAAGGCTATTTCATTCATTCAGATCTCGGATGTCTTCTGCTTGTGTTCCCTTTATTTTTTTGAGCAGTGTGTGTGTGTGTGTGTGTGTGTGTGTGTATATATATATATATATATATATAAAAAATAAGAATTTTTAAATTGTATCTGAGGAAGAAAGCAATGGAGGGAGGGAGGGAGGGAGGGAGGGAGGGGGAAGGGAAGGAAGGAAGGAAGGAAGGAAGGAAGGAAGGAAGGAAGGAAGGAAGGAAGGAAGGAAGGAAGGAAGGAAGGAAAAGTATCTCTCACTCTGTGGGCTATCCAGAACTTCTCAAAGGGCATCACCATCACCAAGAAGCTCTCTCTCTATTGAATATATACAGTACATAGTTTAACATCTTTAAGGTTGCAATCCAGGAGAGGCTTTCTTCAGGTAAGAAAGCTTCTTTTTAAATCGCCTAACATAGGATTGCATTGTGAGAGGCAGCAATTGAAAGAATTGTTTACATAGTAGCATTATGGGAGGAATAAATTTCTCATGGTTTGCACAGTGATTGATCTATGAATTTCTTTCTTTCTTTCTTTCTTTCTTTTTTTTTGTCAGTTTGCTTCCTGAACTCTAGTTTAGCGGGAAATAGTCTAGAATTAATTTTTAGACTCAATTTTTGCAGAAGGAATAAGGAAGAGCCTTGAAGCATAGGAAGAAGAGCTGCAGCCAAGGCTATGGTCAGATAAGCAGGGCTTAAGCCTGGTCCAAGAAACTAATTTAAGAAAACCACTCAAACAGGATAAAATAAAGGAGGGGGGAATATCTCATCTTCTGATCTTCCATTTTGATTGTGTACTTATAATATGGCATAAATATCCATGGTAGTCCCAGTGTTATCAGCACGCTGGGTGCCAAATTTAGGTTTCTAAATTTGATACATACAAACCAGTGGTGGGTTTTAGAATTTTTTACTACCAGTTCTGTGGGCGTGGCTTGGTGGGTGTGGCATGGCTTGGTGGGCATGGAAGGGGAAGGATACTGTAAAATCTCCATTCTCTCCCCAATCCAGGGGAAGGTTACTGCAAAATCCCCATTTCCTCCCAATCAGCTGGGACTCGGGAGGCAGAGAATAGATGGGGGCAGGACCAGTCAGAATTTTTACTACTGGTTCGCCGAACTACTCAAAATTTCTGCTACCGGTTCTCCAGAACTGGTCAGAACCTGCTGAAACCCACCTCTGATACATACATACATACATACATACATACATACATACATACATACATACATGCATCTTTGGATGTATTCTTTACTAAAGACAAAAGTGAACAGTGGACATTAAAGACATCAATACCTGGATCATACCTCTGATATGATACACTGCTGGAATTATTAACAGTACACAAGCTGAACAGGCAGTTTGGATCAAATAACAAGAAAACTGATGACAATGCAGTATGCTGTAGTGATATTGATAGATTATACTTCCAGATATGGAAGCAGAGGTCTATTTCAAATCCAAATAAATTGTTGAAGAAAAGTGTGCATTGGGTATTATAACAATGGCTGGTTTATTGGCCATGACCTGCCTGGATGTGTAAGTCCACAGGCCCTTAGCCCTGTTTTTCTCTATAATGAATTCCCCATTTTGAATTGGGAGGATCTAGTCAAAATATCCCACAATGTTCTATACACAATGCTGGCTGCTTGGTTATGTTGTTCAGTGTATGCTGTTCCTGCCTGCATCTCACACCTTGCCACTATGTAATGGATTGTCTCTGAGGCCTCTCTTGGTCCTGTCTAGTGTGGTACTTTCAGGCTCTTGTCTTGCCATGGCATTTCCTCTATTTGATCTTTCATGTCTGCTGCTGCCTCAGGCATTCTTTTAGTATCTCAGCTTTGGGTGCCATCTTACTGAAATTCTCAAGCTTCCCAGGCTAATGGTTTTGATATTCATCAGACCCTGCCTTCCCTCTTTCCAGTTTATGTACAATCTCTGGGCATTGGGCTTGGGATAGACATCTCCATACATTGTGAGGAGCTTCTAGCATTTGTTCAATTACAGGTTCTATTGTCTCATCCATATATGACTTGTTTTCAGTAGCCGATTTATCATCAAATTGTCCTGATTCACCAACATGAGATGTGAACCTTATTAATCTGGGTGATATATATATTTACACACACACACACACATATGCAATTTGGAGTTCAGAATAT